GAAGAATGATGGTAAGGAGGCGAGTAAAGAGAGGGATAAGGTAAATCGAGGACGCGAAGGAGGGCGAGTACGGAGGAGTAACGAGAAGGAGGAGTAACGAAAAGAAGCAGAAGACGAAGAAGGAGTAAAGAGAGGAAGAAGGTAAATCGAGGACGCGAAGGAGGACGAGAAGGGAGGAGTAACGATAATGATGAGTTACAAGAAAGAAATCAGTCATGTGAGGGAGAAGGTAAATCGAGGACGCGAAGGAGGGCGAGAAGGGAGGAGTAACGAGAAGGAGGAATTACGACAACAATAATAATGAGTAACGATAGGTAGAATGTAAATTGAGGACGCGAAGGGGGACGAGAAGGGATGGGCAAGGAGGGGAGGTGGGGAGAACGGAAGATGGAGAGAGGAGGAAGGAGCACGGAGCAATAAGGAAGGAGGGAGGAAGAAGTCATGTGCTCAATGGTGAGATAACCCAACAAAAACATCCCCGGACAACCTGGACAACCCATGCTGATTCATGACGACAAGACGACCTACCCCGGACAATCCCTTGGAACAATCCAGCGGGGATCCAGAAAACTCCTCCGGACAAACCCCCCTGGACAAGCCTCCCAGGTTTTCTTCCTTACGACACAATCAGGAAGCGAAATGGGGGGGGAAGCACCATGACGAGAGGAGAGGGGAAAGCGAGGAAATAGGAAGGCGGGAGGACCAAGAAAGCAACAAACCAGGAGCAAGAGGGAGGAGGGCGAAGGGAAGCAAGGGGGGGAAGCGGGAGGGAGGAAGACAGGGAGAAGAGATGGAGGGAAAAGGTGGAGAGGAGGGACGAGCAGAGAGAAGGGAAGAGGAGGGAGGGAGGGAGGGAGTCAACCATGTAAGCCGAAATCCAATTCGGGTGGGCCGGATCGAAGGTACTTCGAACAGCACACACACAGCTGAAGCCGAAGCCAAAGCTGAAGTGCGCAAAAATCAGAAAGGGGCCTCCCTGCAGGTCTGGCTTACAGCACAATCGCTGAGCGGTGCTGCAGCCTGTCCTGAGCACGGGTACCCCCCCAAGAGAGCATGAGCCAGACAAAGTCGGGTGTGCACCCTTGTACCTTGCTGGACTCTTGGCTCGTTCTGGTATATACTATCAGGGGCGCGCAAACATGGATCAGCGATCCATGGACTTGGCGCGCGATCGCCAAATCCATGGATCGGGGGAGGTGTCCTACCCAAAATGCGGTCGGTGCCGCCCAACTTGCCCGTCGCTCATCCACGCCCCCTGAATCCACGTTTGCGATCGCCTGGCACGGGCGCTGCCGCCGCCGCCCCCTCCTCAGGGGGCGGAGCGACAGTACAGAGGATCATCATGGGCCTGTTTTCCACCACCACCACCACAAGTTGGAGGGGGGCAGGAGCAGGAGCAGGAGGAGGATGAGGAGGACGAAGAGGAGCAGGAGAAGGAGTAGGAGGAGGAGGAGGAGGAGGAGGAGGAGGAGGAGGAGGAGGAGGAGGGGGAGGACCCCCTCCCCGTCCAACTTGGTGGTGGCGGTGGAAAGCAGGCCCATCGGATCAATGAGTTTCTGCAGTGCAGCTCGAGGACGCGAGGTGGCACCGGCAGTCGGGAACGAGGGCCACGGCACCGGTGGCAAAAGGGTCAACCTGAGCGAGACAGGCCAGCAGTGCAATGGCACAAAAGCCACAAAAAGCCCGCTGATAGGGACATCATCGGAGAGGGATGCCCAACCCACTCGGAGCGTGTGCCACCACTGCAAGAATCAATGTCACTGCCGACATCATCATCATCATCATCATCATCATCATCATCATCATCATCATCATCATCATCATCATCATCATCATCATCATCATCATCATCATCATCATCATAATTATCATCATCATTATCATCATCATCACTACCATCATCATCGTCGTGGAACTCACATCTTCATTATCACCATCGTGTTTGTCATCAGCTCTGTCATCTTCAACACCACTACCACCACCATCACCATCACCATCACCAACGTCATCATCATCATCATCATCATCATCATCATCAGCAGCAGCAGCATCATCATCAGCATCAGCATCAGCATCAGCATCAGCATCAGCATCATCATAATCGTCAGCATCGTCATCATCAACATCATCAGCGTCATCACCAGCATCATCAGCATCATCATCATCAGCATCATCAGCATCATCATCATCGCCATCATCAGAATCACCATCGTCGCAGGGGGGCATAAAAGCACCGCTCGCGCCCCCAGGGAAGCGATGTTATTCGTCGTCATCAACATCATCATCCAAAACAAAATCAAAAGACATGCAAATATCAACATCAACATCAACTCAATGTCCAACACCGTCATCATCATCAGCAGCAGCATCGTCATCATCAGCATCAGCATCATCGTCATCAGCATCATCATCGTCAGCATCACCCATCAGTATCATCATCATCATCGTCGTCACCATCATCAGCATGATCATCATCTTACCCCTGATCAGCGTCATCAGCATCACCAATTACAGCGTCAGTGACATTAGCATCATCGTAGTATCAATTAGCATCAGCATCATCATCAGCATAACCATCATCATCATCAGCACCCGTATCATCATCACCATCATCATCATCAGCGTCATTAGCATCATCATCACCATCAGCGTCGTCATCATAACCAACAACACCACAGCCACCACCACCACCGTCATCACCATCATCACCACCACCAGGACCACCATCATCAGAATTACTGTCATCATACTCATCAACCTCATCATGATGAGAAATCATCAGTATCACCAGCATCATCATCACCATGATCATCATGTTTTTCAGCATCATCACTATCATCATCATCATCATCATCATCATCATCATCATCATCAGCAGCAGCAGCATCATCATCATCATCATCATCATCATCATCATCATCATCATCAAGATCGATGTCATCATCATCATCATCAACAAAATCACCATCATCGTCAAATTCATTATCATAATCACCTTCGCCATCAGCGTTATCGTGATCGCCAGCATCAGCATCATCCACGTCGGTCGATCAAGAACAACATGTATGAATATCTGGGTCATCGGCATATTACTGTAACTAACACTATGACAACGATCGCCGTCGTTACCTTCCTCATCACTGCTGTATCGTTACGGGCCAGTGGCACACGTCCGTGAGTTCATCTATATTCTGGCATCAGCTTATGGCGAGCTCGTGCTCGAAGCCCAAAGCATTATGCCAAAACAGTGCTGTGGATACGCGAAGCCATTGTCTGACACACGAGTGGAAGCTCGTGAGTACGCACTGCCAGAGATCGTCCTGGCCCACGGTGCCCCCAGTTCTTCACACAGTCTCGGAGCCCCAAGGCCTTCTGGGCCACCTGAGCGGGGCTCCGGAGGCCGTCTGGGCCTTCCCGGAGAAGCTGGGACCACCCTGGGCCAGGGTCGGTCCTGTCGAGACCCGACATGCAATCCTGACGACAGCGCAGCACAACAGACTCGCGCAGAGTCGGGGCTGGTGGCAGGAGCGAATCCACTGCGTCGGGCGCACCTCCAACGAGCAAACTGCAGTAACGATTAGACCCTCGGCCACAGTCCAAACCTATTCCCGCTGGTCGCCGAACGGTTCGAAGATTGCGAGGTTCGCTGGTGGTCACCCTGCAACACAGGTTCCACTGTCAGACCCGCAAGGGCGACAAAAAAGATGCAGGTGCGCTGCACCCCCCTCAGCAAGCGCCCCACTGTCAGCGCCATCCCCCCAGACCCCCCTTTCCTCCCAAGGGATCAAAGCCACTGGTTGTCCCATCCGTAGTATGATTTTGGCATGTGCGCCGTGTCGATCCTGAGAGGGTACAAGACAGCCCAAGAGGCGCCCAAGAGCGCTCCAAGAATGCCCAAAAAACGCTGAAGAGAGCCCCAAAAGGGCCCCCCGTCTTTGGGGATAGAGAAAGAAAAAAACGGCATATCAAGAAACTGTCGGAGCTCTGTGTGGATTTCTTGGATCTGCGCCAGACCCCCATTTCCTGGAGCGCGGAGCGCGCCAGGGGCGGCGCCGGAGGCGTACGATGCGTGCGTGACCTGTTTTCGTATCAGAGGTTTAGCTTGTGCGTTCTACTCTGTGGAGCTAGCTCATTACGTGCGCTTCAGGTGTGACGCTGAGAAGCGTTGGTGAACTTTTTTGTACTCGGCGTTTCGACATTGGGCGGAAGGGGGGTGAGGGGGGGGCGACCTGGCTCCGGACCTCTGCTCAGCGCGAACCGTGCGTCCAACCCGCTCGAAACAGACGTCCAAAGACAGCCAAGATCCACTCCATCAGGGCGGGGGGGGGGGCGAGGGCCCGCGCCGATCGGCAAAACAAGGAATGAAAAAACGATCACCTGAGAAGCGTTGCGTGGAAGGACGTTTCGCACTGACGTTCGACACGTTTCACTGCACCGACCTTGCATACGTGCTGCAGCGGACTTGTTGCGTGGATTCCTGCCACTGCAAAATCCAGAAACGGCGAGTGAAAAACTAAGTGAATTTCACGCGGATTGTTTTTACATCTTCATTCCTGGCCAAGGAAATCCGCACGAAATACAACTTCGAAACCATGAACGCAATCCTCCAGGACACCCTGGGTCCATCCTTCCTATCGTTTTCTGAACGAACTCCGCTCTGCGATGTTGGCGACATGACACGTTGGCTCCAGTCGAAGAGCATCTGCGGCTGCTCCTGTCGTTAAATGCTTAACGACTTCTGCCGTCCTTCGACTCGCGCTGGAGCGGCCGCGAGTTGCTGCAAATTTCCCTGGAGATCTCTGGATTTACCTGGATTTGCCCGGATCTATCTCGATGTACCTGAATGTACGTGGATGCTCCTCGATTAACTTGAGTTTACCTGGATTTATCTGGCTCGATCCCCACAAGTCCATTTGCGAAAAGTCGATAAGCCCTCAGGGATCCTGCTGCCACCGCTGGCATTCGTCGTCATAATCGTCGTCCACTCCGACTCGCTCACACCCAGACACTCACGGCAAATCACTTCGGGCGGGACGTGCCAGGAAATGGAATGCACATATTGGGGGGCCTCCGCGTCGAATAATGTGCATGCCGATTGCCCTTCTTCGACCCCGACCGCCCCCGCGAATCGGCATGGGCAACCACCGAACAGATACAGGCAGCGGCAAAACCGCCCCAGTGACTCTTGCCCAGGGCGGCACCGTACCTCTGAGGCTCCAGGGCCCAAGTCCCATCACTGACCAGGTGCCCTTCCCGAAGAAAAAGCCGCGCGTACAGATTCTTCCTCGAGACTGTGGACACGAAAAGGGGCAACTCGCCAGAAGGCTCACAAACTCAATGTGAGGATCTGTGGCTCCGAGGCCAGCGCCGCGCCTGCCGGCGAGGCCGGCTGGGCCTGCCAGGACCCGGGGGTCCCGCCGGCGCCCGCCGACTTCAGCAGGACCTGGATGCGGTCGCGCTTGCGCTTCCCCCAGCCCATCCTCCGAAGCTCCGACCAGGTGTGTTTCTCGTGGCAGAAACCGCAGGCGTCGCCGTCGAGGCACACGTGGATGGATGAGGTGTGGAAGGCGCACGGCTTGCACTTGCCCGCCGCGTGTCCAGTCGCACCCCTTCGCCCCGCGCCCCCGGCCAGCCGCGGCGCTGGGGGCCCCGGGAGGGCAGCGCTGCCCATCCGGCACAGTGGCGCGTCTCCGCCCGCGGCGGGAGCTGCGCTGCTGGCGGCAGCGCGCTGCTGACCGCGGGTTTGGGCTCCGTGCCACTGCGGCGAGGCCCGCGGGGGATGCTGCGCACATCCGCCAGGCACACCGTAGGGCACGTCGGCTTCCAGCGGGCGCCAAGGTCCGCTGACGGGGCTCTGGTGCAGACTCGGCGCGGGCTCACTCACGCCGAGAGGTCCACCCGGCGTGTGCCGCGGAGGATGGAGCGCATAGCCGCGGGGCGCACCATAATATCCATCACCTTCCAGTGAACGCCCATGTCCGCTGACGGGGCTCTGGTGCAGACTCCCGTCCCTCAGATCCCACCACGGCGCGGGCTCATTCACGCCATCTGGTCCACCCGCTGTGTACGGAGATCTGGTATGATCTGCTGCCGAGGCATCGCCGCCATCAGCTGCCGCCAGATGCCCATGTCCGCTGACGGAGCTCTGGTGCAGACTCCCCTCCCTCGGATGCCAACTCGGGGCGGGCTCCCGGAAGGCATCTAGCAGGTGCCGCTGGGGGTGCGATGCACGGCCGCTGGGCGCATCGTGATGCCCATCAACCTCTGGTGCACGCCCACGGCCACCGCGGGGGCTCTGGTGCAGATCGCCCTCCCTCGGGCCACACCTTGGCGCGGGCTGCGGGCCGCGGGCGCCGGAGCCGTTGGGGCTGCCGAGCGCCTGGAGCTCGTGCGGCGACGGGCCCCTCCAGTCCGCGGCCGCGCCAGGCGCCGCCCTGCCGTTCGGGTGCGCGCGAGAGGGTGCGGCCTCCGCTCTGCTGCGGAGGGGCGCGTCTGACCCTGAGGCCGCCGCCGGCGCACCGCGCGCCGCGGCGGTGCTGACGGGGGGTGCGCTCGGGAGGCCATACTGCTGGACGCAGTCTCCGAGGCTTGCAGCGGCGTGCCCAGGGTATACTGGGTATCCCCCGCGGGACATCGCCGAGCGGTCGGAAGCGGCGGCTGAGCGCAACAACAAAAATCTCGAGCCCAGCTGCGTGGAGGACGAGGACGGACAGGAGGAGGATAGGCTCTACCAGGGCGAGGCCACTCGGCCAGGGCCGCTTCGGCGCTCCCCAAGCCCTGGAATGTAAAGGGGAATCTACAAAGGCACAAAGTCTGTGCGCGGCCGGGGCCCCCAGTCGTCCTCCTCGTCCTCCTCCTCCTTCTCGTCCTCGTCCTCCTCCTCATCCTCCTCCTCCTCCTCCTCCTCCTCCTCCTCCTCCTCCTCCTCCCCCTCCTCCTCCTCCTCCTCCTCCTTCTCGTCCTCGTCCTCCTCCTCATCCTCCTCCTCCTCCTCCTCGTCCCGGCGGCGGGCGGCTCCCTCCTCCTCCTCCTCCTCCTCCTCCTCCGCCTCCTCCTCCTCCTCTCCTCCTCCTCCTCCTCCTCCTCCTCCTCCTCCTCCTCTTCCTCCTCGTCCTCCGCCTCCTCCTCGTCCTCCTCCTTTTCCTCCTCCTCGTCCTCCTCCTCCTCCTCCTCCTCCCACGGGTCAGGGGACCTGAAGCACTTGACGCAAGGATGGCAGAGCAGGGGGGCGGGACTGCCCCTGCTCGCTTCTTGTCCTATTCTGCGGGCGTGGCCGCCTCACCGAGGGGGGGGGAAATCCTGGGGGGTACGTGCTCCGCTGTCGAGGGCTGACGCTCAGCGCGGGGACTATAGCCCCCGCCCTCCCCCCTCCGAGGCAAGAGGTTGAGACCACACACACACACACACACACACACACAACACACACACACACGCACGCACGCACGCACGCACGCACGCACGCGCGCGCGCACACGCACACGCACACACACACACACACACACAAACAAAAAAAAAAAAAAAAAAACGACTTTGCCCCCAAGGAGAAGGGGGAGGCACCCCCCTCCTTGCTCCAGAGCCCTACCCCCGCCGCCCTACCACCCTAACCTGAGCACCCAACCAATAGCACAGTAACCATAACCCCAACACCAAAACCACCAGCATTGACGCCAATCCTAACACCCTACCAGCCTACCCCTGAGACTCTAAGCCTACAACCCTAACACTAACCCTACCACCCTAAGACTAACCCTAAGACCCTAAGCTAAGTACAAGCCCTTACCCTATCATTCTAACCCCAACCCTGACACCATGACCCGAAGACACTAGCAATGGCACCCGAACGCTAACCCTGACTCACTAAGCACCAATTCTAAACCTAAACCCCAAATTCTGAACCTGACACACGAACCCTAACATCCTAACCCTATCACACAAACCCAAAACACCCTGACCCTTTTCATCCTAAACCTCAGCCTAATACACTGACCCTAACACTCGAGCAGTGACACCACCGTCCTAATCTCAAGACCCTAAACCTGACCCTACCACACTGACGCTAGCACCCTAAGTCTGACCCGAACAACGCAACCCTGAAAAATCACCATAGCCCAAGCAAACTGTCCAACCGGGCACCTTAGCCCCAGGCAGTAACCCGAAACCTAACACTCAGAACCTCACACACTAGCCCTCCCTACATGACCATAAACACCCTAAGCCTTATCATCCTGACCCTATCACCCTGGCCATAACACCCTAACCATACCACCCTGAACCTAATACCCTACCCAACCACCCTACCCGAACACCCTAAACCTAAAACTACAAGTATGAGAGAGACACCCGATCCTAACACCCTAGCCCTAACGCTATCGCCTCAAGCCCTAAACCTGACACCCTGATCCTCACATCCGAACCGCTGCAACACGAGCCTGAACGTCCTAACTCCACCCACAAACCCCAACCCTAAGCCTGACACTCTGGCACGACCGCCCTAATCCCAACCCTAATCCTGGCAGAATGACCCCAACCCTAAACCACTAACCCTAAGCCCTAGTTAACAACAACAACAACACTCTACCACCCTAAGCGGCACACCCTAATCTTACAACTGTCACCTTACACCTAGCACCCAGAGACACCCTGGCGCATACCTGCCCCCTGCCCCGGCCGCCTGAAATGGAAGTGGTGGGGGGAAGTCAAAGAGGAGAAGGGGGGAGGCAACAACAGACCCTCTGGAAAGTAGGGGGCTCTGTTTAACACCCGCCCCATGTGTAATTAGCACGCGACCCACTGGTACTTGTTCAAGAGAAAACTCGGAAGAAGAACGCTGTTGACGGTGTGACACGAGCCCCTTGCTGGCTAGGGTCAGACACCAGGATCAGAAAAAAGACATCAATCGCAAGGCGTTGCCGACAAGCAGAGGTATCAGAAATGCTTTCTTATCTCTTGCCAAGAGGAACCAACAAACTGCGTACACCTAACACTGCGAAGGTCCGCGCAGACTCATTGGGTCGAGGCGCTGGACCCCCCTCCCTGCCGCGCGAAGCGCGCAGGGCGCGGCGCCGGAAGCGCCGCCGCGAGGGCGCCCGGCGCCGACCCAAGACATCCGCGCGCGCCTCCGAAGTATGTGATTGTGCTATACACCCTGCGAAATGCTTAAGAAATCATGGGTTAAGAAATTCAGAATCTCAGAACTTGAATAAAAACCCAAAATTTCCATTCAAACCTTAGGATTTACCTTGAAACATTAAGAATCATCGAGACTCTGGCCGAAAACTTAAGCTTTCTTAAGCATCGCCTGGAGTGTATATGTTTCTCCCCGATGGCCCTCCCTTCGGCGGAGGCTGGCCTCCATCCTTGCGACGAAAACCCCCAGCATCCTCTCGAGCTCGCCTGCCGCAGCGCGCGCACGGGAAAAGCAGCGGCGGACGGCGAGGTGTGGGGTGGAGGCTGCCTCTGAAAAGGCGAGACGGTATCGAGCGAGGAAAACAATGGTGGAGAAGACGATGGACATAAAACTCGGCGGACGGCGAAAGAGAAGGTAGGGGAGAGAGAGGAGGGGGAGAAGGGGGAAGAGGAGGAGGGATGGGAGAAGGTGGAGGAGGACGAACACAAAGCTTTTTTTTTAATAGAAAAAACAAAAAAAAACTCTTGACGCCATGCCTGGCCTGATGCGGCCGCTTCCGGGCCCGGGGTCCGCCAAACACGCTTCGGGAGGACAAGCCAGCCCCGGGGAGGGCGCCTCGAGCTCCGGGGGCCCACGAACACCAAAGAAACACAGACAAGCACGGCAACACGCAGAATGACGAGAAGCACTGCAGAACGGAAGCGCCGGACGTCTGGGCCTGCGCTCGGAGGTCTGGGCGCGGGAGTCCACCTCCTCCACCACCACCTCCTCCACCTCACTCGTGCGACTGGTCATTGCACTGGCCTTGCAGACGTGCTGCTGCGGATTTCAGCGTGCATTACTGCGTGGAGTTCTGCCCGAAGCGGCGAGCGAAAAAACGAAGTGAACTTCGCGTGGATTATTGTTGGCCTTCATTCCTGGCCAAAAAAATCCGCACGCAATTCACATCGAAATTCCGACGAAGTTCTCCGGGACGCTCCCGGTCCCTCCTGTCGTTTTCCGAACGAAATCCGCTCTGCGATGTTGGCGTTAGAACGGGCCTGTCACCCTACAAGGGGATTTTGATCGAAAAATGCAAATGCTCGAAAAATTATACAAAAATGCGCAAAAAAAACGAACAACATCGTCCCCAGACCAGTGCTTCGCTATTTCTGAACATCCCTCATGTAGAGGGATAGGCCCGACGCAAGACTGGGCCGCCGAGGTCACGGCACGCAGAGCTTCGCGAGCACGGAGCAGGAGAACGGAGGCGCGAGGCGGGGTGGCCCCAGTCGTCCAGCACCGACAGGACCTGGCGCGGCGCGCTCGTCGTCGTCGCCAGCGTCACCGCCGCAGCAGCCGCCGTCGCCGTCGTCGCCGCCGCCGTCGTCGCCGTCGGCGTCGGAACGGGGAGAGAGAGGAGAAGGCAGGCAGGTCGGTCGAGGCAGCACGCGGGGTCGTGTGGAACCGCGGCGTCGCCTGGAGATTCAGATGGATCCGCAAGGGTGGAATGAACCCGGCGCAACCGCGCTGAGGGGAAAGCTTCCTATTGCACGGGGCAGTGCTTGGCATTGCTTGGCAGTGTCTGGCATTGCTTGGCAGTGCTTGGTATTGCTTGGCATTGTGAAGCATTGCTTGGCATTGCTTCACCTTGCTTGGCCTTGCTTGGCCTTGCTTCGCATTGCTTGGAATTGCTGGGCATTGCTTGGCATTGATGAAACGGGCACAATAAGAATACGAGGCACTTGGGGTGGGGAACCCGGCGAACCCAGGGAACCCGAGAAACCTGGGGAACCTGGGGAACCCAGGAAACCAGAGAACCCGGGGAACCCCAGGAACCCGAGGACGCCAGGGAATCCGGGGAACCACGGGAACCGGGAACCTAGCTGGGGAACCCGAGGAACCCGCAGAACCCGAGAAACCTCCGAGAAACGGGCAACGCAACAATTGGAGGCTCCGGGAGTGGGGAGCCCGAGGAACCCAGGGAACCTAGGGAAGCTCCAAGCAACGGGCAAAGTAAGATTCCGAGGCGCCAACCTTCATTAAAGTGAGGACCCATTAGGCAAGCCCGATTGGTGAAAAAAACTTAAGAAGTAAGCGCCGTCATAAAACATGTGGCCGCTCTGCCCAGCGGTCCGAGGAGGCAGGGCGGAGGGCTGTAGGAGGGGAGGGGGAGGTGCGGAGGGGGTTGCTTTCACAGCGAGCTCCAGCGAGAGCGCAAGAGGCGGCGGCAAGGCTGGACTTGCCCACAGCCACTCCTCAGAGGAGGGGGCTCGAAACATCAAGAATCAGCGCACAGCTGGACAATTGCACCGAGCCGCTGCCACGAGCAGCAGCAAGTGTCACGCAGAGAGCCTGAGAGCAAATGCTGCAAACAAAAAATGGGTGGTCCAGATAGCGGCTCAGATCGCCGAGGGCCAGCCAGACGCGGCGCGGGGAGGGCTTTCACCCTGGAGCCCCACCAAAACGGAGGCGCCTGCAATAGAAAAAAAAAAAAAAAAGCAACAGAAACTTTTGGCGCTCCGCGTGGATTCCTTGGATCTGCGTTGGACCCCCCTCCCCGGCGCGCGGAGCGCGCCAAGGGCGGCTTCGGAGGCGCCGCCGGGGAGAGGGGCAAAGCGCGGATCCGAGAAACCCGCGCAGAGCGCAAAAAGTGTATGTTTGCGGCGTGATTTCTTCTTCGGTGCCAATGACGGGGCCGCCACCCCAACCGCCGACAGAGAATACACCGGAAGGAAGGGCACAGCAGTGCGCAATGCCAAGCGCACCACAGGCTGGACCCGGGACACCGCCGGAGATCTGCGCGGCCAGGCCACACAGCCGGCGCCAGATATCGCGGCAGCCGAGAGTGAGGAAGGGGAAAAACGGCTAAAGGGGCCCAAAGACGCCACATAAATAAAGAAAATCCGTGTGATGCAGCCAGACACCGCTCCAGATACCGCTAACCTTCGACGGAGTCTGAAACGAAGGCTGCATTGCGGACCGCAACCCGTGGTCGATTTGAACTGCCGAGCTCAGCATGTGGAAGACCCCCGCCCGCTCGGGAAACCACACCTCTGACCGCCAAGCCCAGGTCCAGGCCCCCCCAGAACGCTCTCGGCGAGGCGCAGCCGCTGAAAAGCATCCCGAGACTGGAAAACCGCCGGGAACCGACGAAAACACCCGAAACGTCCGAAGACGATCGTTGGTTCACTCTCGCCAGCAACAAACAGGCCTGCCGTCACCTAGCCAAAGCCGCCTGGCGACAGCAGCCACGCGAGCGAACGACAGACAACCTCCCCCCCCGTAGTCTCGCTCTCTAGCCCTCCTCGGCATACCCCTGCCTGCGCCCTCCTCCTCCCCCCCCGGCAATCTCCCACGGCATCCACGCCGAAACGCTCCAGAGACAACCCCGTCCTCGTCCTCGTCCTCGTCCTCGTCCTCGTCCTCGTCCTCGTCCTCGTCCTCCCTTCCTCTCCCGCCCCCGTTCCCGCCCTTCCTCCCCGTCATCGTCTTCGTCCCTGTCCCCTCCCCAAGGCTCTGCCACCCCCACCCTCGTCCTCGTCCTCCTCCGCCGCTGGCGATCGTGACACAGCGAAAAAAATCGAAGATGATGGACATGGACGACGACGACGACGACGACGACAAAGACAACCCCGACCACGGCTACGACCATGACGACGACGACGACGACGACGACTACGACGACAACGACAACGACGACGAAGACGACGGCAGCGGCGGCGGCGTCAGCGGCGGCGGCGGCGACGACGACGACGAAAAGAAAAACACGGCGGACAGCGACGACAACGGACAGAGCCGACAACGGGCACCGATGACGAAGACGACGACTACGACGACAACGACAACGACGACGACGACGACGACGACGACGGCGACGACGACGTATGACAAGGTCGACGTTGCAGACGCCGACGGAGACAACGTTGACGACGACGACGACGACGACGACGACGACGACGAACAGCGACGACGACGACGACGACGGGCACCGACGACGACGGGAACCGACCACGATGGGCCCAGACAACGCCGCCCGACGAGGTCGGCAACACCGACGACGACGTGACGACGACGGGCACCGACGACGACGACGGGCACCGACGACGACGACGACGACGACGACCGCTGACGGCGACGGCGTCGCCAACGTCGGACAGCGACGACGATGATCGGCGCCGCTGATGATGCCCGGATCGACGACGTCCCACAACGCCAACGATGACGCCGTCCGACGATGCCGCCCTGCGCCGGCCTCCGACGACGACGACGCCGGCGACGACGACGCCGACGACAACGACGAAGTTCGACGACGACGACGACGACGACGGCGACGTCAGACATCCCACGACGACGTCCGACGACGACGTCCGTCGTCGGCGTCCAACGTCGACGGCGACGCAGACATCGACTGTAGAAAAAGGAAAAACGCCATAAACATCAACTGTTGACGCCCTGCGCGGATTTCTTGAATCTGAGCTGGACCCCCCCCCTGTCGTGCGGAGCGCGCCAGGGGCGGCGCCGGAGGCGCCGCCCAGGCGCTCCAGCTCAGATCATAGAGATCCGCGCGGAGCGCCAAAAGTTTATGCCTACGCCGTTGTTTCTTTTCCCCCATATCCTAAGGATTGGGGTTCTTGTTATTCCCCATATCCTAAGGATTGGGGTTCTTGTTATTACTCTGACGCCTCCCACTCCTCCTCCTCCTCCTTCTTCCTCCCGCTCGCGCCCCCCTCCTCCCAATGATAATCACCAGATAAGACAAGACAAGATAAGATACTACAAGATAAGATAAGATAGCACAAGATATGATAAGGTAATATTAAGATAAGATGGGACTCACTCTCACTCAGACTCACTCACAGTCACATTCACTCACACTCACACTCTCTCATGATCACAAAACGCTGCCAGGGGCATCATTTGGGAGCCCCAAGGGGGAGCCACCCTGGCTGATCTCACGAGCCCGTTCGCGCCGATTTTGGTGGGACGTCTCAGCTAGAATTGCCGTTTGGCGCCCCCAACATGTATCTCTTGAGAGCCTCATGGTCACAAAACGCTGCCAGGGGCATCATTTGGGAGCCCCAAGGGGGAGCCACCCTGGCTGATCTCACGAGCCCGTTCGCGCCGATTTTGGTGGGACGTCTCAGCTAGAATTGCCGTTTGGCGCCCCCAACATGTATCTCTTGAGAGCCTCATGGTCGCAAAACGCTGCCAGGGGCATCATTTGGGAGCCCCAAGGGGGAGCCACCCTGGCTGATCTCACGAGCCCGTTCGCGCCGATTTTGGTGGGACGTCTCAGCTAGAATTGCCGTTTGGCGCCCCCAACATGTATCTCTTGAGAGCCTCATGGTCACAAAACGCTGCCAGGGGCATCATTTGGGAGCCCCAAGGGGGAGCCACCCTGGCTGATCTCACGAGCCCGTTCGCGCCGATTTTGGTGGGACGTCTCAGCTAGAATTGCCGTTTGGCGCCCCCAACATGTATCTTTTGAGAGCCTCATGGTCACAAAACGCTGCCAGGGGCATCATTTGGGAGCCCCAAGGGGGAGCCACCCTGGCTGATCTCACGAGCCCGTTCGCGCCGATTTTGGTGGGACGTCTCAGCTAGAATTGCCGTTTGGCGCCCCCAACATGTCTCTCTTGAGAGCCTCATGGTCACAAAACGCTGCCAGGGGCATCATTTGGGAGCCCCAAGGGGGAGCCACCCTGGCTGATCTCACGAGCCCGTTCGCGCCGATTTTGGTGGGACGCCTCAGCTAGAATTGCCGTTTGGCGTCCCCAACATGTATCTCTTGAGAGCCTCATGGTCACAAAACGCTGCCAGGGGCATCATTTGGGAGCCCCAGGGGGGGTCCACCAGGGGCTTCATAGTCACCAAACGCTGCCAGGGGCAGCATTTTGGCTTCCCAAAGAGGAGTCGACCCGGGCCTCCTAGTCGCCAGACACTGCCAGGGGCACCATTGGGATTCAGACTCGCACCCAGACTCACTCATACACAAGCTCACTCACACTCAGATTCATTTCTTCAGAGTCAGGCACACACAGACGTACCCATACTCAGACTCACCCACACTCAGGCTCACCTAACCCAGACTCCGTCAGAAGCCAGTAGCGAAGAGAGCAGAGAGGAGAGAGAGAGAGAGAGAGAGAGAAAGAGAGAGAGAGAGAGAGAGCGGGAGAGAGCGAGAGAGAGAGAGAGAGAGAGAGAGAGAGAGAGAGAGCGCGCGAGCGCGAGCGCGAGCGCGAGCGCGAGCGCGAGCGCGAGCGCGAGCGAGCGAGAGAGAGAGAGAGAGAGAGAGAGAGAGAGAGAGAGAGAGATATATATATAGAGAGAGAGAGAAAGGAGAGAAAGAGAGAGAGAGAGAGCAAGAGAGAGAGAGAGAGGGAGCGAGAGAGAGGGAGAGGAGAGAGAGAGAGAGAGAGAGAGAGAGAGAGAGAGAGAGAGAGAGAGGGGGAGTTGAGAGAGGGAGAGAGAGAGAGAGAGAGAGAGAGAGAGAGAGAGAGAGAGAGAGAGAGAGAGCGAGAGACGAGAGAGAGAGAGAGAGAGAGAGCAGAGAGAGAGAGAGAGCGGGAGAGAGCGAGGGAGAGCGAGAGAGAGCGAGAGAGAGCGAGTGAGAGCGAGAGAGAGAGAGAGAGAGAGAGAGAGCGAGAGAGAGAGCGACAGAGAGCGAGAGAGAGCAAGAGAGAGCGAGAGAGCGAAAGAGAGAGAGAGAGAAGAGAGAGAGAGAGAGAGAGCGAGGGAAGAGAAAGAGAGAGAGATAGAGAGAGAGATAGAGAGAGAGAACAGAGAAGAGAAGCGAAGAGAAGAGAGAGAGCGAAAGAGAGAGAGAGAGAGGGAGAGTGAGAGAGAGAGGAGAGAGCAGAGAGAGAATAGAGAGAAGAGAGAGAGGAGAGAGAGGAGAGAGAGAGAGAGAGGCAGAGATAGAGGCAGAGAGAGAGAGGCACAGAGAGAGAGGCAGAGAGAGAGAGAGGCAGAGAGGGAGAGGCAGAGAGAGAGGCAGAGAGAGAGAGAGACAGAAGCAGGGAAAGAGAGGCAGAGACAGAGAGAGGGCAGAGAGAGAGAGAGACAGAGAGAGCAGAGAGAGAGAGAGAGACAGAGGCAGCTCAGTCACACTTAAATCCAGACTCGTCCTCACCGAGTCCCACCACCAAGGGGGCGCCAGCAAGGAGATGCACATATGGGGATCCCCACGCAGTGAATAATTACTCTGACGCCTCCCACTCCTCCTCCTCCTTCTTCCTCCCGCTCGCGCCTCCCTCCTCCCAATGATAATCACCAGATAAGACAAGACAAGATAAGATACTACAAGATGAGAAAAGATAGCACAAGATATGATAAGAAGAGATTTCAAGATAAGATAAGTTAAGCTCACACTCACACTCTCTCATGATCACAAAACGCTGCCAGGGGCATCATTTGGGAGCCCCAAGGGGGAGCCACCCTGGCTGTTCTCACGAGCCCGTTCGCGCCGATTTTGGTGGGGCGTCTCAGCTAGAATTGCCGTTTGGCGCCCCCAACATGTATCTCTTGAGAGCCTCATGGTCACAAAACGCTGCCAGGGGCATCATTTGGGAGCCCCAAGGGGGAGCCACCCTGGCTGATCTCACGAGCCCGTTCGCGCCGATTTTGGTGGGACGTCTCAGCTAGAATTGCCGTTTGGCGCCCCCAACATGTATCTCTTGAGAGCCTCATGGTCGCAAAACGCTGCCAGGGGCATCATTTGGGAGCCCCAAGGGGGAGCCACCCTGGCTGATCTCACGAGCCCGTTCGCGCCGATTTTGGTGGGACGTCTCAGCTAGAATTGCCGTTTGGCCTCCCCAACATGTATCTCTTGAGAGCCTCATGGTCACAAAACGCTGCCAGGGGCATCATTTGGGAGCCCCAAGGGGGAGCCACCCTGGCTGATCTCACGAGCCCGTTCGCGCCGATTTTGGTGGGACGTCTCAGCTAGAATTGCCGTTTGGCGCCCCCCAACATGTATCTCTTGAGAGCCTCATGGTCACAAAACGCTGCCAGGGGCATCATTTGGGAGCCCCAAGGGGGAGCCACCCTGGCTGATCTCACGAGCCCGTTCGCGCCGATTTTGGTGGGACGTCTCAGCTAGAATTGCCGTTTGGCGCCCCCAACATGTATCTCTTGAGAGCCTCATGGTCGCAAAACGCTGCCAGGGGCATCATTTGGGAGCCCCAAGGGGGAGCCACCCTGGCTGATCTCACGAGCCCGTTCGCGCCGATTTTGGTGGGACGCCTCAGCTAGAATTGCCGTTTGGCCTCCCCAACATGTATCTCTTGAGAGCCTCATGGTCACAAAACGCTGCCAGGGGCATCATTTGGGAGCCCCAAGGGGGAGCCACCCTGGCTGATCTCACGAGCCCGTGACGAGAGAGAGAGAGAGAGAGCAAGAGAGAGAGAGAGAGAGAAGCGAGAGAGAGGGAGAGGAGAGAGAGAGAGAGAGAGAGAGCGGAGAGAGAGAGAGGGGGAGTTGAGAGAGGAGACAGGCGAGAGAAAGAGAGAAGAGAGAAGAGAGAGAGAGAGAGAAGAGAGAAGAGAGAAGAGAGAGAGAAGAGAGATAGAGATAGAAGAGAGAGAGAGAGAGAGAGAGAGAGAGAGAGAGAGAGAGAGAGAGAGAGCGAGAAGAGAGAGAGAGAGAGAAAGAGAGAGAGAGAGAGAGAGAGAGAGCGGGAGAGAGCGAGAGAGAGAGAGAGAGAGCAGAGAGAGAGAGAGAGAGCGGGAGAGAGCGAGGGAGAGCGAGAGAGAGCGAGAGAGAGCGAGTGAGAGCGAGAGAGAGAGAGAGAGAGAGAGAGAGAGAGAGCGAGAGAGAGCGACAGAGAGCGAGAGAGAGCAAGAGAGAGCGAGAGAGCGAAAGAGAGAGAGAGAGAGAGAGAGAGAGAGATAGAGAGAGAAAGAGAGAGAGAGAGAGAGAGAGAGAGAGAGAGAAGAGAAGAGAAGAGAGAGAGCGAGAGAGAGAGAGGGAGAGTGAGAGAGAGAGGAGAGAGCAGAGAGAGAATAGAGAGAAGAGAGAGAGGAGAGAGAGAGAGAGAGAGAGAGCAGAGATAGAGGCAGAGAGAGAGAGGCACAGAGAGAGAGGCAGAGAGAGAGAGAGAGGCAGAGAGACAGAGGCAGAGAGAGAGGCAGAGAGAGAGAGAGAGGCAGGGAAAGAGAGGCAGAGACAGAGAGAGGGCAGAGAGAGAGAGAGAGAGACAGAGAGAGCAGAGAGAGCAGAGAGAGAGGCAGCTCAGTCACACTTAAATCCAGATTCGTCCTCACCGAGTCCCACCACCAAGGGAGCGCCAGCAAGGAGATGCACATATGGGGATCCCCACGCAGTGAATAATTCCTACAGTCGATGTCTGCGTCGTCGACGTCGCCGTCGACGTCGGACGCCGTCGTGGGACGTCGTCGTGGGACGTCGTCGTGGGACGTCGTCGTGGGATGGCTAATCTCGTCGTCGTCGTCGTCTTCGTCGTCGTCGTCGTCGAACTTCGTCGTCGTCGTCGTCGGCGTCGGCGTTGACATAAAATATGCGAAAAAGACCCAACTGTACTAAAAATTCGTCCCCAGCCCTTTTTTGTTACTATTTTTGAAGCTTCCTCCTGTAGAGGGACAGGCCCGACTTCGTCGTCGTCGTCGTCGAACTTTGTCGTCGTCGTCGGCGTCGGCGTCGGCGTCGTCGTCGTCGACGAGGGGCGAGTCGTCGTCGTCGTCGTCGTCGTCGTCGAACTTCGTCGAACTTAGTCGCCGTCGTGGGCGTCGGCGTCGGCGCCGGCGCCGGCGCCGGCGCCGTCGACGGAGGGCGAGCGACGGGGCCTGGCCGATGCCGAAGATGAGCTGCGCGCGGCAGTCCACGGACCAGCTGCGCGGAGCGGGCGCGGGTGGGGCCAGCGGCTGACGGGCGTGTTTTCCACCACCACCACCAGAAGTTGGAGGGGGGAGGGAGGAGGAGGCGGAGGCGGAGGAGGAGGAGGAGGTGGGGCCCCCTCCCCCTCCAACTTGTGGCGGTGGTGGTGGAAAACAGGCCCATCAGAGGCGGCCGCCGCGCCGCGCACGGAGGGGGCAGGGCAAGACCGAGGGGGGCCCCGGGGACGCACAGATAGAGAGAGAGAGAGAGACACGGCTCCCAGGATGCCCCCATACATTCCCGCATTTTCTCTGGGTGGTCGTCTCCCCTCCCCGAGTTGTCCCACACTGTCCCGTCTGTTCTGGGGAATCGGCGATTCACTGTGCCGCGCACGGAGGAGCGGACAATACTGAGGGGGCCCAGGGAGGCACAAATAAAACGACACAGATCCCAGCCATCGTCGTCGTGCGCGTCGTCCCTCTCCTCGTCCTCCTCGTCCCTCTCCCCCCCCTCCTCGTCCCTCTCCCCCCCCCCTCCTCGTCCTCCTCCTCTCCCCTCGCACCTCCTCCTCCTCCTCCTCCTCCTCCTCCTCGCCCCTCCTGCTCCCTAGCATCCTCCGCCACCTGCCCCTCAACATCCTCGTCGTTCTCGTCGTCGCCGTCTTCAGGGTCGGCGGCGCCTGCCGTAAGGCCTTCGCAATAAATACACACAAATCCCAGGATGCCCCATACTTTCCTACATTTTCTGGGTGTTCGTCTCCCCCCCAGGTTTTCCCACACTTTCCCATCTGTTCTGGGGAATCGGCGATGTATTGTGTCTGTGTGTCTCTTTTCCTCCTGAACTTGTTCTGCATCAACATCTGCCACCAGCAAGACTGGACTGCAGCGATGGCAGCCGAAGTGCTGGAAGCATCCTGGATGAGCCCTCGTTGAGCGGTGCGATGGCGGCAAGAAGGGGAGAAACGAATTGATGGTGATTCCCCCTTCCCGGGTGGCGGCGCCAGAACCCTGCACGCAACGCACCTGCCACTCCCAGGAACTTTGGAAGTGCACCAGAACACAAAGGAAAATAGACACAAGTCCCAGGATTCCCCAATTTGTCCTGACTTTCCAAGTGTTCGTTTCCATCCCACTTCCCGTATGTTTCTCATATTTCCCTACCTAGGCTCTGCCTAGAAGGGTTCTTACTCTCTTGGCTTAAAGGGCCAGGCAGTGGGAACCGGCCCGGGAGGTTCCCCCAGTATCCGCCCCGCGGTTCCCCCAGTTACGTCCCCTTAGCTTAGCGTTGCTTATCTCAGTTTAGCTTAGCCTAGCTTAACTTAGCCTAGCTTAGCTTAGCTTAGCTTGGCTTAGCTTAGCTTAGCCTAGCCTAGCCTAGCGTGGCTTGACTTAGTTTAGCTTAGTTCAGCTTAGCTTAGTTTAGCGCAGCGCAGCATTAGCATAGCATAGCATAGCATAGCATAGCATCGCATAGAGTAGCATTGCGCTGCATACCATAGCGCAGCATAGCATAGCATAGCATAGCATAGCATAGCGCAGCATAGCATAGCTTAGCTTAGCATAGCACAGCGTAGCATAGCACAGCGCAGCATAGCATAGCATAGCATAGCATACCATAGCGCAGTATAGCATAGCATAGCATGGCACAGCACAGCATAGTATAGTATAGCATAGCGCAGCATAGCATAGCATAGCATAGCGCAACATAGCGTATCATAGCACGTAGGTGGATGTAGGCGTAGATGTAGATGTAGGTGTAGATGTAGATGTAGATGTACATGTAGGTGTAGATGCAGGTGTAGATGTAGATGTAGATGTGAGTATAGTTGTAGTTGTAGTTGTAGATGTAGATGTAGATGTAGATGCATGTGTACACGTAGATGTAGCTGTAGGTGTAGATGTGGATGTAGGTCTAGATGTAGATGTAGGCATTAAGCTGTACTACTACTACTACTACTACTACTACTACTACTACGACGACGACGACGACGACGACGACGACGACGACGACGACGACGACGACGACGACGACGACGACGACGACGACGACGACTACTACTACTACTACTACTACTACTACTACTACTACCGCTACTGCTACAACTGCGACGATGAGGAGAAGGAGGAGGACGGCGTTTACCGTTACTACTAATATTGCTCTCCTCGGGGCTCCAACTCCTAGGTAGGGTCGCTCTTGGATAATCTCCTTGGAATCAACGATTCATTGTGTCTGTCTGTTTCTCCCCTCCCGAAACTTGATGCCCCAGGGTGGTCGTGGGCTGCTTCTTCAGAGACGGCTGGGCGCCTGCGTCCGGATGGCCACCGGCGTCGGGCAGGGAAGAGAGAGTGCACCTTCCTGTTGGCAAACGTGGGCGCATCCTCGATGAGCCCCGATAGCAGTGCGATGCTCCAGATTTCGTAATAAATGGAGGGGGGTCTCATATCGGGGGGGGGGTCTCTTCCAGGCTGTCTTGGAGGGCCTGGGGGGTCTGGGGACGATGCTTTGGAGGGTTCTCCCACGGGGGAGGTCTGAAATGGCTTGTCTTGGAGGGTCAAGACCCCCTCCCTTTGATTTTACGAAATCTGGAATAGCTTTGTACGCCCGACATGGTACGGAAAAACTGGGCACAGTGTCCAACAACAAACAAAGGTTGCCCCAAAGCAGCAGCGGCTGCCGTTGGGCAGGCAGCCTTCCCTCACATGGACCATGCCCGCGGCGACGCCGACAGCGAGCCCTGTTCAAAATGGACAGGAACTGCTGTCGGTCTCTGCACCCATTCCTTCCGTTAGGAGGCAACTACTGGGAGGTTTTCGTCGGAAAAAATAAGGAGGATTAAGCCCCATTTGAAAGCTGTTACGCCAGAATGGGCCTCGGACTAAGCAGGATTAAGCCGGATTAAGCGGGATTGAGCGGGATTAAGCGGGATTAAGCCAGATCAAGCGGGATTAAGCCGGATTAAGCCGGATTTCGGACCAGGGCTACATCAGAATTTGACCTCCCAGGAGTTGCATCCGAGCTTCCGTACCCATTCCGATCGCCCCGAATGGCGGGAAACGGGGGGAGAGTGAGGAGACGGTGATGCCCCTTTTGTGGGTGGCGGCGCGGGGGGGGGCCGTGCGCAGGGCGCCCGGGCACTCCCAAGAGCTCGGTGCCCCCCCTCTCCTCGAGGGGAGCGGGCCACCCGTGAGACGGAGAGGGGGGCTGAGGAGGAGGAAGACGAGGTGAAGCGGCTCCTGGAGCGGGAGGAGAGAGGAGGAGGAGGAGGAGGAGGAGGAGGAGGAGGAGGAGGAGGAGGAGGAGGAGGAGGAGGAGGAGGACGAGGAGGGAGGAGGAGGAGGAGGCGGAGGAGGAGGAGGAGGGAGGAGCCCGGAGATGAAAAAGGGGTGCGGCCGAGGACCCCCGCCGCGGACGCTGCTAGCGTCGGGGGGGCCCGACCGCCTGTGCTCGCCTCGCCCCCTGCGTCCCTGTTCCCTGCGTTCAGGTCCGACAGGCGGCTTGTGGAGGAAAAGCTAGACATAGCTTCCACCCCAACAAATCAGCTCAAAATCCATCAGAAA